GTTTGAGGGGTCTTTTACAAACGCTAGCAACCCAGCAGTTGAAAATCAAATCAATAGGAAAAAATTGCAAAAAATGCAAAAATGGCTTGGCCAGCTGATTTGAAAAATGTTCCGGAGGGCTTGGCAGCGAAAGGGTTAAATCCAGCTCTACATTTAATCCCCCTGGCTGCATAGTCTCCAAAACATAAATCCACTTTGTTTCATTTTGTGAAATCTTTCTAATCAAATTGGACCCTCTCCAGTGTCTCGACACTCTATCTATGCCTATTAATTGAAGGCCACTAGGGTGCTTCCCATGAAATAGCTTAAAATGTCTCGAGAAGCTGTGTTTCTTAAACCCATTTTTTTTTTATATTTGTAATATGTTCCCCGATTCTCACCTTTAGTTGTCTCTTGGTCCTTCCAACATATTGGAGACCACACAGGCATTGTAACAAATATGTTACATGTGTTGATGCACAGGAAATAAATTCCTTAATTTTAAATGACCTTCCATTCACATATGTATTAAAGCGGGTGGTCTTAGATCTGATTTTAATTCATCCCATTCACTACAGATATGTCTGAATTCTCAAGGAGGTAGAAAACTCCACGTCCCCTCAAACATAGAATACCTATCGTGGAGTTGCACTGTGAATTCCTCCATACTAATTATATTATTAAGTTCACATATCCACTCCCGAATCTGGGGAAGGCTTGTTGACTTCCAATGATTAGGAATTATTATCCTGGCTGCCGACAACAGAAAACAAAGAAGTCCTCTCTTACGCTTTGTGGGTGATCCCAGAAGGGATAATAATTACACTTCTCTGGTAAGAATACTCCAGTCAGATGCCCACCTATGTAAAAAATAGAACTCCAATTTGTCTGTAACACCTGACAAGACCACCAGATGTGTAGCATCGCCCACTCCCGCACTCCACATCTCCAACACTTATTTGTAACTGAGGGGTTTATTTTATGTAAGACTGTTACGACTGAGCATCGACTGAGCATCTATACCATTGTGTTAATATCCTACATTGTCTTTCCTTCTGTCCAAAATGTCTTGGTATGCTAATGCCTTAAGACTTCCCTTCACTGGAACTAAGGGGCCAAGCTCAACCCTTGAAAAACAACCCCATACCATAATTCCCCTTCCACCAAACTTTACACTTAGCACAATGCAGTCATGCAAGTACCGTTCTCCTGGCCACCGCAAACCCAGACACGTCCATCGGATTGCCAGACAGAGAAGCGGGATTTGTCACTCCAGAGAACACGTCTCCACTTCTCTAGAGTCCAGTGGCGGCGTGCTTTACACCATGGCATCCGACGCTTTGCATTGCACTTGGTGATGTAAGGCTTGGATGCAGCTGCTCGGCCCTTGAAACCCATTCCAGGAAGCTCTCTACGGACTGTTGTTGTGCCAATTTGAAGGCCACGCCAAATTTGGAGGTCTGTAGCTATTAACTCTGCATACAGTTGGCAACTTCTTGCACTGTGCGCTTCAGCATGCGCTGACACCGCTCTGTCATTTTACGTGGCCTACCACTTCGTGGCTCAGCTGCTGTTGTTCCTAGTTGCTTCCACTTTGTTATAATACCACTAACAGTTGACCGTGGACTATTTAGTAGCAAGGAAATTTCACCGAACACGGAACATGATTTGGAGGGGTGTCCCAATCCTTTTGACAATATAGTATATATATGGAACATCACACACTTAAGTTCAAAATCTACTTGAGATTTCTTATGCCTTATACACAGGCTCCACTGTGGGACAAGTGATTTTGACAGTCTGGAACACCTAATGCACAAAAGTGACTTGATCGTATTAGATTGGATGACAATATTGAATGACTGGATTGTAATATGTAAGGGCACCATATATATGGACATATAATAAAATGGGCAGGGTTTAGCAAACCTGACCACAGGCATGCCAAATGCTCAGGTCATGCTAGGCAAACAAATGATTACAGGATGATTATATACACAGAAAGATTTAGTCATTGTATGGATGAAGACCTTTTAAAGACAAATTTAGTTTGATTGGTCATTATAATAAAAGCTGATATTTTCTATTACTTTTTAAGTTGATAATAACACTAATACATTTTGTTTCTTCAATAGGGTAAAGAATAATACATGGCATTCCATCCATAGGACCACCTCAACATTGCAATACTTCTAACAAACCTAATGAAATGGATTCCCCCAGCAGCAAAATATCTTTGAAAAAAGTATTTGTGATAACGATTGCACAATTCTGTATAGCTTTCATGTTGTTTATGCTCTATAACAAAATAAATCTTTCATCAATATATTTTATGGATAACTTTGTGACGCACAACTTGAAACTATCTAACCATTCAGAAGTCATCATCCTCCTTTGGACTTGGCCATTTGGACAAACATTTCCCCTTAATCAATGTTCACCAACTTTTAATATCTCGGGATGTTTTTACACGGAGGACAGACTGTTATACTCTTATGCTGATGCAGTCGTTCTACACCACAGAGACGTTTGCTACTCCAGAAAAAAACTGCCACAGATGTCAAGACCACCAAATCAGTACTGGGTGTGGTTTAATTTAGAGTCTCCATCATACACCCCAAACATAGACTTTATGAACAATCTCATCAACCTGACTATGAGTTACAGGTCGGACTCTGACATTTTCACCCCTTATGGTTGGCTGGAGCAGAATGCTAAAGAAGTGAACTTTACCATCCCAACAAAAAAAAAGCTGGTTGCTTGGACAATCAGTAACTGGAATCCCCAATCCAGGAGAGTGCTATATTATGAGCAGCTGAAACAGTATGTATCCATCGATGTTTTTGGAAGTCATCATCAAAGTCTCCCCAGTAGTGAAGAGCAACAAGTACTTTCTCAGTATAAATTTTATCTTTCCTTTGAAAACTCTGTACACGAAGACTATATCACTGAAAAATTATGGAAGAATTCTCTCATGTCTGGTTGCGTACCTATTGTATTAGGTCCTAAGCGAGAAAATTATGAACGTTTTATTCCAAAAGACTCTTTTATACATGTGGAGGACTTTTCCACAGCTCAGGAACTGGCTGCATATATCCTACAGTTGGACAAAGATGATAAAGCATACCGAAAATATTTCAGTTGGAGGACCACACTCCATTTTATTCAAGACGTTAGTTGGGAAGACCATTATTGTAAAGTATGCAAGGCAGTTAAAGAAGCACCTAAGTATAAGACTATTGTTAACCTTGCAGACTGGTATAAATGATCAGAATATGATCTACACCAGGCCAGTGGGCTTAACTAACTGGGGTCACTTCTAGCAAAAATTCCAGCAACTCTATGAAGAGACTTGATATGTATGGCCAGGGACTGGCCTTTGTGGTGTTCGAGCTGTGCGGCCGCACAGGGCGCCATGGCAACAAGGGCGCCAGGCGGCCGACACAGCTTGTCCTTGGGGTGGCTTCTCTCCTCCTCAACGCTCGGCCATCCGACATGACAGCGCTCCCTACTCTGCCCACCCCCGTGCTTCAGCGCTGTCCTCAGATCGCCGCTGCCTGTATGGGCTGAGGCAGCAGGGTTCCGAGGAGAAACTGTCCGCTGAAGCGTGTGGGGGGAGAGCAGAATAGAGTGCTGCCTGCTGTCAGGACGGCCGAGCGGGGAGGAGAGCGGAGCCACTGTCATCCTGTCAGCTTCAGGATGACAGCAGCTCTGTGCGTGGCCGAGTGGAGAATCGGTAAATATCAGTGATAATTAATTACCGATACTCTGTGCAGAGCAGACACTGGAGTGATTGTCTGATCACTCCAGTGTTTGTAAATAAGTGGGGACACATAGTACTATGCATCCCCAGTTATGAATGAACAGGATGTGATTTACATCACTTCCTGTTCATTCATGAATTTCTGAATGGGGGGTAGCACTCACTATAGAGGCTTTTCCGCATTCATAAACTGGTGATAGTAAATATTTTACTATCAACAGTTTGTGAATGAATGGAAAGCCTCTGTACTGAATGCTTCCCATTCATTTAGAACAGAGGCTGCAGAAAAAGAAATTGAGGACTTTGTGTCCTCAATTTCTTTTCAATTTTAAATGTACACTAGATACTTGAAAAAAGGGTTTGCATGACAACCTGACACTTTGTATATTTATATATACATTTGTATAGACTCTATTTTAGTTTGACGTTTATTGTTTACCACTTATTTACCTGCTGTTGTTTTATTTGATAAGAATACTTATATTGTGCCTACAAGTTTAATACCTTTGAATAAAAGTTTTATTTTTATCATACTTTTTAATATGTTTCTTTGGGGCTTAACAAAATGGGAGTCCTTAAATGGTGTGGCTATTGGAAAAAATGGGTGTGGTTACTGAGGGGTGTAGTCACTGAGGGGCGCTGTAAAGCTTTCTCGCACAGGGCGCCTAAAGGCCTAAGGCCGGCCCAGTGTATGGCTTAACCACTTGCTGACTATGTCCAGGCCATTTTTCAGTATTTAACGCTGCGGTACTTTGACTGACATTTATTCCGTTATGCAACGCTGTACTGGAATTAATTTTATACCATTTTTGGGGACAGATAGAGCTTTCTTTTGGTGGTATTTAATCACCACTGGGGATTTTATTTTTTACTATATTAAGGACAAATTACTGAAGATTGTTTTTTAACATTGTTATAAAACATTTATCATTACCAATTTTTTGGTAAAATATAAAAGATGGGGTCGCGTTAGGTAAAAAGACATGTCAAGCTTTAAAATTGCGCGCACCCGTGAAATCGCAAAAAACTACCATACCCAAAATTGACCACAGGTGACGCTTTAAAAGCTTTTGCCCATCATCAGTTTAGTGTCATCAGTGATTGATGGCCCTAGAATTATTGCTCTCACTGGGACGTTCACGGCGATATGTAACATGTGCGGCGTAATGGGCGCAATCGTCGTTTTCGCACGTATGAGCACCCAACACATGTTTGCATGGGGACTTTAACTTTTTTTCATTTGTTACTTGAAATTATTTTTGCAACTTTAATTTTTTTTTCCTATTTTTTCCCCCTCTTAACTTTATTGTTATTACATAGGGGGATAAGAAACCCCCCTATGTGATAGCAAAGATGATGTGGCAGGTCCTCTTTATGCAGACATCAGGTGTCTCCAAGACCCCTTATGTTACCTAGGGACCCCCAGAGAAGCTGATGAAGCAGAGATCTGATGCATCAGCTTCTGAAGCTGGAGAGTGACACAAGAACATACATCACTTCTGCATTCTGACACCAGAGAGGGGACCGCAGAGAGATCGTATACCGATCTTCCTCTGATCCTCTGTCAGAGAGCCACCATGCTGGTCCCCGGCTCGCACCAGGCACGGCAGTGCCCGGGACCAGCGGGGATGGGGGAGCCGCCGGGGGGGACGCACATATCGGCACCTCATACAAGCGATCCATTGGCTCTATAGCTGGCGGATCGCTTGTATGTAAACAGGCATTGCTGCCTGTTCTTACATTTTGGCACTTTCCCACTCGCGAGCGGGCGTTTAAACACCCACTCAGATCTAGAGAGCTCCCGGCCGGCCAGCTGGGAGGTGGTTAAAGTGTATGCATACCCAAAACTTGTTTTTTTGTTTTGGCTACAAATCGCTGCAATGTTATCGCTGTCTGTGTACCATTGGGGAAATTCCCATTTACCCAGGGCCAGTGCTTGCCTATTTTGTGACCTAAAAAAAACATAAAAATGTCCAATTTTGTATTTTAAAGACAGATTTGTAGAAAAAAATGTAACAATAAAACACAAAAGTTATACAGCAATGCAGAATACCTCCAGCTATAGAGGACAATAAGCAATGCAGAACAATACCATCAGCTATTGAGTATTACAAATCCCAGCAATACAGTATACAGTAATGCAGAATAATAGTTTATGAATTTTCTACATACTCTGTGCTGCCGCTCTGTTCCAGGGTGCAAAAGGTCTAAGGAGGGTGCAGAAGGGCCTCAGGAGGGGTGCCGAAGGTCTCAGGAGGGGTGCCGAAGGTCTCAGGAGGGGTGCAGAAGGTCTTAGAATAGGTGCAGAGGGTTACAGGAGGGGTGTGGAAGGTTTAAGGAGGGGAGCACAGGGTCTCAGGAGGGTTGCCAAAGGTCCCAGAAGGGGTGCAGGAGGTCTCAGGAGCCGTGCGGAGGGTCTCAGGAGGAGAGCGGAAGGTCTCAAGAGGGGTGCAGAGTGTTTCAGGAGAGGTGCGGAGGGTCTTAGGAGAGGTGCGGAAGGTCTCAGGGGGGGTGTGGAGGGTCTAAGGAGGGGTGCGGAAGGTCTCAGGAGGGGTGCGGAAGGTCTAAGGAGGGGTGCGGAAGGTCTCAGGAGGGGTGCGGAAGGTTTCAGGAGGGGTACAGATGGTCTCAGGAGGGATGGGGAGATGTGCTGGAGGCAAAAGCGCTGTAAGCAGGTGCAGGGTGGTTCCACAGAAGGCTGCTGCACAGGACTTAACACAGGTGAATCAATTAGAAAAATTTGATTTCAGAGGTCAGTTGTAAGGCAGAGTGCAGAGGTGAGCAGTGTGACACAGAGTGCAGAGGTGAGCAGTGTGACGCAGAGTGCAGAGGTGAGCAGTGTGACGCAGAGTGCAGAGGTGAGCTAGGGGGGGTGTAGAGGGTTTGGGGGGGGGGGGGTGCAGAGGGTTACTGTAATTGCTCAGTCTTATACAATCACAAGAATTTGTAGTGATTGTATAAGACTGTGCAATCGTTCATTTTATATGACAATACAAGGAGAGAGGGGGGTGGAAAACGAATGAACACTACACACTTATCTTACCTCTTCACACAGCGCTGCAGCCTGCTCAGCCCGGGACTCACAACACGCCCCGCCTCCCACCGACAGGACGTTACAGATGCCTCATCGCTCTGAAGTCTCAGAGGGATTAATCCGCCCATCCACAGTGCAGCGGCAGAGTGATCTCTCTGAGGCTCCGGAGCTAGAAGGATGATAAGAGAGAGGCAGCTCAGATGGGCACAGTTCCTTGCAGCCAAAACCGCACAGCTTTTCCAAGCGGCCACAATGAACTGTGCCCATCTGAGTGCATGCGGACGTAATGCATTCCGGCGGAGTCTCAGTGAAACCAGGCCGTCTGCTCCCTAGTCGGGAGCATGTCCTAGGCGGCTACCTTGATTGCCTAGCGGTAACGCCGACCCTGCATTTACCTCCAATCCCAAGAAGGGCAACAGGATGTTAGAGAAAGTTTTCCCAACATTAAGTAAATTCCCCTCTTAGACCATTGTCCCAGAACAGCAGGTGCAGGTTAATTCTCACAGAGAAGCACTTCAGCAGCAGTAAAATGTGTCATCACATCACTCCTATGCTATACTCCCACCATTACTCCTTCAGTCAGACACCTGCTAAAAATGTCTTCAGGCACCTTAACATACTGTGGGTGGTTATTACTCGGCCTCCAGCCTCCTGCTTTTGCAGACATGTAGAAATAATACAATGGACAACTATTTTCACCGCAGTGTCTACTACTCCATGATTACTTGATGATAATGTTAAAATATTTTTTCAATTACTGTATGTAAATATAAAATATCGCTTGTGAATATTATGTACTCTTCTATCCACGCAGCTGCTGGAGAGTAAGGCTCCTTTTCACATTTCTGTCTCCTTACTACCTGTTGTGCACAGAGCTCTATAGCTCAAGCTAAAATGTACACATGATTAAGAGCAATGAATCATTGCCTTATTGGACAGCTTACTTTGAGGTATCAATTTATAAATGGGAGTCTCATTGCAGGTAACTTATGTTCTGCAATGAAAAGTGATAAAAAAGTTAAACAAAAATAAAGAAACAATAAAAAAATAAAACTAACCCTGCCGCCCTGCCTTCTGTTTGCCATTCTCCGTTGATTGGCGGGGGGGAGTTGGCGGGAAGGGTGGTGCACTCCGGAACCTGGCCTTGGGGCCTCAGGGAGAGTAAATCCGGTCCTGAATGGGAGGATGCCACATCTAAAGCCAACACGTTTCAGGGGCTAAACAATCTCCATTTTTAGGGCTAAAGAGAAACAAAAAGTCTGAGCGATATGCAAATACAATATTAAGAGCATCATGGTAAAACAATATACTGTACAGTATATGTAACTAAGAATTTGACTAAAATGCAATTCCTGAAATGTCCACTACAGGGGGTTAGGAACCAATCTAGATATGGACTGGGCTTTTAAAACGTCCTAATTCATAGGGAAGAATAGTTTCAATAGGTAAAGGGGATGTCTAGAAAACTGAA